CTGACTGTATTATTGTATTATCTCTCATGCTCTCAATGACTTTAATATAATACTTATATATCTCAATCGTACAATTGTGCATTACTGAACCCAGAAGTAGTATTACTGAACTCGTAGAGAGTATTAGCGGTGGGGGCTGGTCCCTCACCTCCCTCCGTGCCATTTTTAATTTAATACTACAGTTAACAGTCATCTTCAAACACAAACTGAAGAATCGGCATTAGATTTTATTTTTTACTTGGGGTGGGAACTGGATGTGGCCATGGAATGTGCCTGAGCCATGGCACTACTGCGAGCCTTGGCTGCAGCTCTGGCTTGGGCTCTCTCCTCTTCATCCTTCGCAGCCTCTTCATGCCAGAACGGGAAGGCACTGGGAATGGTTTCGTGAATCTTGGCCAAAAACTCTAGGACTTTCATTTTGGTGGTTTCAGCATAGGCTCTAGGACCCCACAGGAATCCATAGCATGGAGGCTCACTGCCGGGCACCTGCTGCTACTCCAGGTACTTCTGCTTCACCAGATCTTTGGTGATGAGTTTCCTGGGTTCCCCAAAGATTAAGTGACGTTCACCAGCATATAACCCCATCATATTCAGCATTTCCCAGACTTCTTCCTCAGTGGCCCAGTTGCCTTTCGTGAAAATCACACCCAGGATAGTCAGGAGGAGGCCTGTCTTGGGCATACCTAAGTCTTCACTCTCTCTCCCATAATGGGTACATTCTAATTTGTTGATGAGGACATAGATGTGCTTGTGAGGGTCCATTTCCTTCAATTCAAGGCCAAAAGCCAGTTCCAGGTGCTCAGAAGCTTTGCTGAGGATCGTAGAGTAGTGATTCTTGTATACTTGGAGTATATTTTTCATTGTGTCTGCCTTCGTAATGACCTCTTTTATTTGATACTTGTGCAGCAGGTAATGTACCAACATGATCATCTTCTTTTCTAGAATTTTATGGAGTAAGTGCTCAGCGATGGGTTGGGCCTGCTGACAGCTCGGCTGTTCTTGGTTTGGGGCATCTTCATTAGCTCTTGTGTATGACACACCTGCCTCAGAAGTGGTGGTGGGCTTGGAATGTAACTCAGCAGATGGCAAGCTATGGGAAGGGCAGCGAGAACCAGGAGAGAGGGGGGAGCTGACCACCTCTTTCAAGGCTACAGTGACTTGACCGCTTTTTCCATCCAGGGACTCTTCTTGGGCCTGACGGCGTTTCTCATGGGCCCGGCGCTTACTTTTGTGGCCCCGGGGCATGACACCTCTACTCAAGGGCAGAGCACAGGCAAGCAAGTGGTGTGGACGCCTGGGAGAAACAGAGGATGAGATGGTGGATAGTCCTTCATCAGAGAGATAATATCTTGGTTTTAGTAAGGAAAAACCTCCCCTGAGACTCTACAGAAGGAACTATAGTGTGCCTGAGGCTGCTGTCTGCTGGCTCTACCTGTGGCTTACTGGGGTAAGCAGAGACTGATAGTAGGGCTCTTTCAGTTCTAGGGCATGAGGGGGACTGCCTTCATTCACACTGTTGGCAGGCCTCAGCTCTGGTGGAGACTACAGCAGGGAGATGAGTGTTTTTCTCTGGTCACATTTAAGGCCATCACCATGACTTCTGATAGACCCTGGGGTCCTTCTGCTCAACTTATTTTATGTTGATTCCTCACACCCAATCTCTCATCTCACTGAGAATCTGGAGGAGAAATTGGAGCAACTCATTTGACCTCTCTTGCCTGGAGACATCCAGGTATTACAGCAGTAAAAGGTCTCTATGAGACTGTTTCTTCTCCTGGGGCACTTAGGCTTCTGGTTTCCAATAGAAACTAAGAATCCTCCTTCTACTGACCTACAGCCCATATCCCAAGAGCAATGCCCTTACATCACCAAATCCCTTGAGGGAAGACCTCGAAGATTCTCAGTCTAAAATAACTTCTCCAGGGTTTCTCAGGGCTGGTAGCACTGACAGAGATAGAACCCCCATTGGAGGGGCTCTGGGTGGGGGAGATATGATGACCACCATCCTCCTTCAAGGAGGAGGTGTAATATCTTGACTGGTGACAAAGCCTAGCACTGCTCTTACCCACCCCCCCTTATCTGAGATCTATGCTCTCAGACTAAGTTTTTGTTTGTTGGTTTTTTAACCTCTGTAACCCAGAGTCTGAGTGCAGGGCCTCCTCATCTGCCATGCTAGGCTTTCCTGGAGTTTCACAGGATTAGTCCCGCGAAGAGTTACAGCCTTGGAAACCCACAGGGGCAGTGCTACCCTGTCCTGTAGGGTTGCTATGAGTCAGCATCTATTCGATGGCAGGGAGTTTGCAGTTCTTTTGTTTTCCCAGAGTTAATAGTAATGTCAGAAGCAGAAATCAGGAAAGCCTAGCATTCGTCCACCCCCACCTGGATTTTCCATGACAGTATAAGTAGACTCTTTGAGGCCCCTTCTATTCTGAGAGGGGTAGTTGTTCTTCTCAGACCTCACATGCCATCCTCGTGTTTACTTATTTGAGAGTGTAGAACCTCTCCTTACAGGTGCCTTCAGTCTAAACCCTTGCCCAAAGCCTTTACCTTGTGCAGTTCCCTCAGGGGAAAGCAGAGGGAGCTCTAAAGTTGCTACTTATGACTATCTGTGCACTGCAGTCAGTGCTGAACTCCATGGGAAACCAAAATCTCACTCCACAGAGTTGATTCCGACTCCAAGCGACCCTATAGAACAGAGTAGAACTGCCCCTGTGAGATTCTGGAGCTATGATTTTTACGGGGACAGAATAGCACATATTTTGCCTCCGGAGAAGCTAGTAGTTTCAAGCTGCCGACCTTAATGTTAACTGTTCAACCCGTAACCCATTAACCAATAAGACTCCTTAAACTCCATGGAAGTACCTTCAATCGTGGGTGGGTGGTCCCCTCAGTCTAGGGTGGGTGCTCACTCAGGGTCTTTGCCGTTTTGCACACTAGACTGGAAATCCCTCCCGTGGCTCACCTTGTGCCGTCATAATCCCCTCCCTTAGGAGTCTGAGGAGGAAATTCGGGTGTGTCACATCCGCCCATCCTCCTCAGACCTCTTTCAGATGTAACAGCAGGGGCAGGCTTACATTCACTGCCATTCATGGGTGCAGACTATTATTATTTCAAAATCAATTGCATTGGGGTTAAGAGGATAAGAATGTTGTTTGGGAACCCCTATATCCCAGGGGCCAATCGTCTATTTAACACAGTATTGCACTGTCCGCAATGGTCTACATGTACCGTGTAATTATTTCCACCGGGGACCTGCCCTCTGCCCCATGGAATGTCTAGTGTGCATAGGCAAAAATACAACTGGAGCGCAGCTGCATTCTGATGTAAAAAGAGTTCGGGATCTGTACAAGAGAGGCTGAGCGGTGAATGCATCTGGATGACTTTTCAAGATATGTCCACTTTCAACTCTTTGGTTTGTCTGCTTGTTTTATTGTGGGAAGCATATAGTATCGCTATGCATCTTCCATTGCAATCTTTTTTTTAAATAATCATTTTATTAGGGGCTCATACAACTCAACACAATCCGTACGTACATCATTTGTGTCCAGCACACTAGTACATATGTTGACTTCATCATTCTCACAACACCCACTTTCCACTTGAGCCCTTGGTGTCAGCTCCTCATTTTTCCCCCTCCCTCCCCATTCCCCCTCCCCCTAAGCCCTTGATAATTTATAAATTATTATTATTTTATCTTATCTTACCCCATCCAACATCTCCCTCACCCACTTCTCCGCTGTCCATCCACCAGGGAGGAGGCCACGTGTAGACCTTGTCATCTGTTCCTCCTTTCTCCCTCACCTTCCCTCCACCCTCCCGCTATC